TCCCTTTCCATGACAACACTTTACTTGAGACCGAGGCATAAACCCCTGCAAAGTAGCATCTCCTCCTCTGTCCTGCATATAAAGGACAACCCAGATATTTGACTGGAAACTCCTTGGCCTGAAAACCTGTCATCTCTGCGATAGACCGTTTTCTGCTCCCAGGAAATTTGGCATGAGCCAGGACGCAACTCTTATGCAAATTTACTTGTTGTCCTGACACTGAAACATAAGCATCCAGCACCTTCATCACCAACCGCACAGACTGCCGCAAACCACTAGAGAAAACAATAATATCATCTGCGTAGGCAAGATGAGTAACAGGTGGGCAACCCCTTGGAACTCTGAAAGGCGTAAAGCCCCGAAGGCTACTCAAGGAGTTCAAAAGACGAGAAAGGACTTCCGCACTAATCACAAAGAGAGCCGGTGAAATCGGATCTCCTTGCCTTAAACCACGACTAGACTTGAAGAACCCCTGAGGGGCCCCATTAATGATTACTGAAAACCATACATTCGAAATAAGCCTCCAAATCATATCAATCCAGATCTCACCAAACCCAAACCTCCTCAACACCTGAAGCAAAAACGGCCAAGAGACTTTGTCATAGGTTTTGGTCATATCGAGTTTGAATACAATATTTCCCCCTCTATTCTTTCGGTGAATATCCGATACCAACTCCTGGGCCAATAGGAAATTATCAAAAATTTGTCTGCCCTTAACAAACCCACTCTGCCGAGGAGAAATAATACTTGGCAACACTGTTGACAACCGATTCGTCAGGATTTTTGAAATAACCTTGTTTACAAAGTTGCAAAGGCTTATGGGACAAAACTGACTAAAGTCTTGGGGCGAAGGCAACTTCGGCAGGAGGACGATCGAAGTCGCCGTAACGCTCCTCGGCAACTCATGACCACAGAAGAAGCTCACAACAGCCTCAACAACATCATGGCCCACTACGTCCCATGCGAATGTAAAGAATTTACCCGTGAATCCATCAAGGCCCGTCGCACTCTCACCATCCAATGCGAATACCACCTCTTTTATCTTCTCCATTGAAGGGATGCGCTCCAACTCAGCGTTTTGTTCCCTTGAGATAATATTGGGGATGACCTCCAAGGTACTCCATGACCCCGTACAATCTTCGGTCGAAAATAAGGATGTGAAATAATCCACCGCCTCTGCCGAAATATGAGCTTCATCGGTCAGCCACTCTCCCGTTCTACTCCGAATCCGATGTATAACAGATTTAGCCTTTCTCTCCGCCACTACCGCATGAAAGAACCTTGAGTTCTTATCCCCGTCCTTAAGCCACTTGATTCTTGCTTTCTGCCTCCAATATGCTTCTTCCATGGCCAGGGAGTTCCGCATTACTGCCCTTGCCTCCTGGAGTGCTAACCATTGTTGTTGTGTTGGGACGCTATCAACTGCAGCCTCCGCAGCCCCTACAGCCTCTTCTGCCTGTTTCACTACGTCAAATATATTACCAAAATGGTCCCGCGACCACTGTTGGATTGCATGTTTAGTGAATCGTAATTTGGCCGTCAACCGCTGCAACGGGCGTCCTGGGCAATGGCTTATCCAACTCAACCGAATGACATCTAACAACTCTACTTTCGAGGTCCAAACATTTAGGAAACGGAAAGGCCTCGGCTTATTATCAAGTCTAGTTGAAGCTGACAGCAAAAGGGGGGCATGATCGGAGGGATCTCTGCCAAGGTGCCTAACTCCAAAATTCACCCCCAGGCGAGCCACAGTCGGGCTACAAAGCAGTCTATCTAATCGCTTCCAAATTCGAGCGCGCCCACCCCTATTGTTACACCATGTGAAACGTGACCCTGAAAAACCTGCATCAAAAACTCCAGCCCTGGACATAAATGAACTTAGTTCCACACCTTCATCTACTCGAAAAGGCAGCCCTTCGCGCTTCTCTTCTGCACTAACAATGGTGTTAAAATCCCCCACCACCAACCATGGATCATCCCTCGGTTTATCCGCTAACAGAGCTGACCACAACGGAACCCGGTCTTGGTCAGTACATCTTGCATGGACGAAGGACAAATAAACAGGAGCCGATAGTGCCTGGGGTGAAATTTTAAGGGACAGGTGTTGAGGAGATTCCCCAATAGGAGCACATTGGAAACCGTTTTGATAGAAAACCCAGATAGACCCCTCCCTGTTGACCATCCAACCTTCCATCTTGAGACGAGCACAAAGCATTTGAATGTCACACGTCGAAACCTTAGGCTCACAAATAGCCACTAATTGAATCGAGAACTCAGAAATTAACCTTTTTAACCTACGAAAATTTGGGGTACGCGAGATACCCCGAATATTCCAGAATAAAAAACTAATCATCAGATAATGCAGAGAAGGAGTTAGAGCACACCTTCGCCTTCGAGCGTAGAGAACGATCAGTAGGAGCCACAGAACGAACACCCTTACGTTTCGGTTGAACCACTAGCTGAACATCATCCCCACCATTCGCCTTCTCTTGAACCTGTTGAATTATTGGATCAAGGTTAAAAATATCAACCACCAAGGAGCTAGCTGCACACAGCCATTGCCCTAGCGGCGAAAGGCAGCCAGCCCTTTGCTCAGCCATGGAAATGTCCTTCTCATCCAGATGCCCATCGGAAACAACTTCGTTCTCCTCTTCAGCTGCTTTCCCAGGTCCAACGTCCTCTTTTCCATCCACCAAACCATCAGCCGATGGTAACACTTGCACCTGCTGGGCAGGCAGGCCACTCACGGTCGCAGGGCCTGCTGCCTCACTGGCTCCAGTAGCCGCAAGCACCAAACTGGTGCCAGCAGACTGCCGCTGCTGCTCTGCCTCCAAACCCATGGCCTGCGGCACCACCAACTCCCCTGAGCAGTTCTCCTGCGCTGCTGGCTGGCCCTCCCAAACCGCAGGAACACCATGTCCAAGAGCTGTTTCCCCCCCGGGCTGGAGGGATGGCTCCTCATCCACAGCACCCACGTCTGCCAATGGAGTCGCCGCTGCTGATTCCGCACCCACCACCTCGCGTTGCATCTTTGGAATAAGCTCCTAGGTTTACTTAACTGTCTGCCCACTGCCAGAGCTACCTATAACCCTACCCCCTGCCGCCGCCTCACGACGCTCAGGAGGAGCCACAGAACGAACACCCTTACGTTTCGGTTGAACCACTAGCTGAACATCATCCCCACCATTTGCCTTCTCTTGAACCTGTTGAATTATTGGGTCAAGGTTAAAAATATCAACCACCAAGGAGCTAGCTGCACACAGCCATTGCCCTCGCGGCGAAAGGCTGCCAGCCCTTTGCTCAGCCATGGAAATGTCATCCTCATCCAGATGCCCATCGGAAACCACTTCGTTCTCCTCTTCAGCTGCTTTCCCAGGTCCAGCGTCCTCTTTTCCATCCACCAAACCATCAGCCGATGGTAACACTTGCACCTACTGGGCAGGCAGGCCACTCACGGTCGCAGGGCCTGCTGCCTCACTGGCTCCAGTAGCCGCAAGCACCAAACTGGTGCCAGCAGACTGCCGCTGCTGCTCTGCCTCCAAACCCATGGCCTGCGGCACCACCAACTCCCCTGAGCAGTTCTCCTGCGCTGCTGGCTGGCCCTCCCAAACCGCAGGAACACCATGTCCAAGAGCTGTTTCCCCCCCGGGCTGGAGGGATGGCTCCTCATCCACAGCACCCACGTCTGCCAATGGAGTCGCCGCTGCTGATTCCGCACCCACCACCTCGCGTTGCATCTTTGGAATAAGCTCCTAGGTTTACTTAACTGTCTGCCCACTGCCAGAGCTACCTATAACCCTACCCCCTGCCGCCGCCTCACGACGCTCAGGAGGAGCCACAGAACGAACACCCTTACGTTTCGGTTGAACCACTAGCTGAACATCATCCCCACCATTTGCCTTCTCTTGAACCTGTTGAATTATTGGGTCAAGGTTAAAAATATCAACCACCAAGGAGCTAGCTGCACACAGCCATTGCCCTCGCGGCGAAAGGCTGCCAGCCCTTTGCTCAGCCATGGAAATGTCATCCTCATCCAGATGCCCATCGGAAACCACTTCGTTCTCCTCTTCAGCTGCTTTCCCAGGTCCAGCGTCCTCTTTTCCATCCACCAAACCATCAGCCGATGGTAACACTTGCACCTACTGGGCAGGCAGGCCACTCACGGTCGCAGGGCCTGCTGCCTCACTGGCTCCAGTAGCCGCAAGCACCAAACTGGTGCCAGCAGACTGCCGCTGCTGCTCTGCCTCCAAACCCATGGCCTGCGGCACCACCAACTCCCCTGAGCAGTTCTCCTGCGCTGCTGGCTGGCCCTCCCAAACCGCAGGAACACCATGTCCAAGAGCTGTTTCCCCCCCGGGCTGGAGGGATGGCTCCTCATCCACAGCACCCACGTCTGCCAATGGAGTCGCCGCTGCTGATTCCGCACCCACCACCTCGCGTTGCATCTTTGGAATAAGCTCCTAGGTTTACTTAACTGTCTGCCCACTGCCAGAGCTACCTATAACCCTACCCCCTGCCGCCGCCTCACGACGCTCAGGAGGAGCCACAGAACGAACACCCTTACGTTTCGGTTGAACCACTAGCTGAACATCATCCCCACCATTTGCCTTCTCTTGAACCTGTTGAATTATTGGGTCAAGGTTAAAAATATCAACCACCAAGGAGCTAGCTGCACACAGCCATTGCCCTAGCGGCGAAAGGCAGCCAGCCCTTTGCTCAGCCATGGAAATGTCCTTCTCATCCAGATGCCCATCGGAAACAACTTCGTTCTCCTCTTCAGCTGCTTTCCCAGGTCCAACGTCCTCTTTTCCATCCACCAAACCATCAGCCGATGGTAACACTTGCACCTGCTGGGCAGGCAGGCCACTCACGGTCGCAGGGCCTGCTGCCTCACTGGCTCCAGTAGCCGCAAGCACCAAACTGGTGCCAGCAGACTGCCGCTGCTGCTCTGCCTCCAAACCCATGGCCTGCGGCACCACCAACTCCCCTGAGGAGTTCTCCTACGCTGCTGGCTGGCCCTCCCAAACCGCAGGAACACCATGTCCAGGAGCTGTTTCCCCCCCGGGCTGGAGGGATGGCTCCTCATCCACAGCACCCACGTCTGCCAATGGAGTCGCCGCTGCTGATTCCGCACCCACCACCTCGCGTTGCATCTTTGGAATAAGTTCCTAGGTTTGCTTAACTGTCTGCCCACTGCCAGAGCTACCTATAACCCTACCCCCTGCCGCCGCCTCACGACGCTCAGGGTGTTTTACCCGGCAAGCCGACTCCTCATGACCTTGTCGAAAACAGTAGTGCGGCAGCTTCTCCGGAACCAGAACCTGCCAAAAACCATCATCTTCCCCAGACCCAAGACCCACCTAGACTCGGCTCGGCAGAGGCTTCACCTGGTCGACCTCCACACAGACACGCGCTACGCTCGGACGAGACAGCGATCTCGTTGCTGCATCCATGAAGAGCGGACGCCCCAACAGCGAAACAACGTGGAATAAACATTCCTTGTGAAAGAGATGGAGTAGAAGTTTAGGCAGAGAAAACCATACTGGAACAAGCGATGGTTCTTTGTCAACATGAAACGAAGTTGTCCACTTAAAGACCCGCATCGGATAGCCCAAAACGTACCAAAGGTGCTGTCCCCATATTCTGTGAAAATCATGTTCTGCATTCAGACGGATGATAACATGCCGGTGATCTAACAGCCCCACCGACAAGCACATAAGTTCAGTTTATTTAGATTATATTATATATTCCCATGATATATATTTGAAAGTCTCTTTTACAATCAAATTGTATCACTTGCCACAAATACTAAAACTACCAAACAATTGTGGATTTAATGTTTTAGATGGCAATAGATTATTCTAACAATTAAATAGTGGCCAGTTATTTACTCATGCAAAATAATCATCTCAAGGATGAATAGAGAATATATAAATACGTATAAATAAATGAAACAAATAAAACCAAATTAAATCGCACAATATTCAATGAACCTATCCTTCGACAAGAAAAAGAGTTCAGCCACTCTTCATGATGGAATCGTAGCCAAAAAAATAATTAGGGTTTATGGAGAAAGACAAAAAGAAAAAGAAAATGAAGGAACGAAAGAAAAACAAAGGAGATGAACTATCTGTTGCTTCCCGTTCTTCTCCATCCCCAATCATCTTTCCCAAGAGTCATCACTAATGACTCAAATATTAGTACTTGTAGTTTTCCTTTTTATGAAGTTGGAGAAGATTCCCTTTGCTAATAGAATTCTAATTGATACTAAAACTAATAAATATGACAAAAAAATATAGTTCTTAAAATAATCAACAACTTCTAACTCTATAAGGAAATAGAGATTCATTTCCATTGATCAACACAAATCTCAAACTATGGGGTGTGCTTCCAATTCCTGCAATGTTTGGACTTCACAGTAGGTTAAGACATGGTCATACCTTACAGAGTAAAGTCTTCTAAAAATTTTGCTTTTTTATTTTTATTTTTTAGAAAAGAAATTTTATTGATACAGCAATAAACACATACATCAGGGGTTCATAGAGTTACTACTACATGCAGTATAATTCACAAGAAACTATACAATCAATATACTAGAATTCTATATATAACACATCAAATAAAGATGCATTGGTCAAGGCTCTAGGCTAAGCTGAGTTCCCAGTTCCCCTTGCTTTTCCTTACATCCCCCTAATTCATAGCCACAATTTGAATCTCGGAAATAATCTTTTTCACAATATGATCACAATTCTAATGCATATTATTGAATATCTTCTAATTTTTAACCCACCAAATATAGTACATTGTAGTAACTAATGATAATCTCATCAACTATTCTTTGAAAGGGTTAGCAGTAGAATGCAAACAATGCCAATACATCTCACTAATCCATGGAGAGAACCCTCTATAAATAAGATTTAAACTCTGAATTTGCTTCCAAATTTGGAAAGTAACTAGATAAGAAAGAAAAGGTGATCATATGTTTCTTTGTCATTGCAGCAAAACACACAAGAATCATCATTTATCACTCTCCATTTCTTTAATCTACTTCTAGTGTTGAGTTTGCCCCTACAAAGAAAACAAAAAATAAAGGCAAATCATTGGATAAAAGGTTTCTTCGACACCACATTGAACCAATCAACTTCAACTCAAGGTTAGAGAACTACTTTCATGACCTCCTTTACTATAAACAAACCATTCTTTGCATATTTCCATACAATCTAATCAGCTTTCATTATGTTTGGGATAAAATCAGAAGGAACCTTTTACAATAAAGCAAGTGTTTTTCTGTCAGTCCTTCTACTGGTTGGCCAATATCTACTCAAGCCATACTATGGCTCTTAAAGTCATAAATAATAAATTGAGGAAAATGATCTAGCAAAGCTCCCAGAGGGTGTCAAGGATAGTGCCACAAAAAGATATTAGATCCATCACCTACTTTCTACACAAAATAATTCTTCATCCAACTTTTTAATTACAAAATTTTCCTCCAGCTCCATGAAGCATTTGTAGAAATCTTAGTGGCACAAAAAGAAGTGTCATTCAACAAATACTCATGAATCGAACGGATCCATAAAGTATCTTTTTTGGTACATATATTCCATAGTTTTTTCATGATAAGATAATTAGTTCAGATTTCTAATCTAGGCACTCCTAATCCCCTTTCTTTTAGAGGTAAGCGTACTTCAGACCATGCCGCCTTAGCACCATGTGTTTTTTCTTCTAAACCAATCCACTGAAAGGTAGAAAGTATACTTTTAACTTTTGTAATTATCTTTTTGGGAAGAATAAAAATAATAGTTGAATACTTTATTTCTCCCCACCCTCTAGTTTCCCCACTTTCTATTGCTCCCCGCCTTCCCTTCCCTCCAATTTAGTCACAATCTAATTGGAGGGAAGAAGGATGAGGGAGTGAGAGATGGAGGGAAGAAGAGGGGATTGTGAGGTCAATGGAAAATAGTGAAATGGAAAGTGGCAGAGATGGGAGGCAAAAGGTGAAGGAGAGTTGGTGTAAGTTTTAGAGGTAGGAGCAATAGGGATAGGGCTGAGGGTTGTGATCCAGTGGTGGGGAGGGATGTGAGGAATTGAAAATTCACCTATATATTTTTTATAATCCTCTTTTATTTTGAATAAGTTAATTTTTAAATTCTTTACTACTAATTTACTCCCTCAATAGTTGTAATAAATAATAAAATTGAGAATTTTACTTTTACTTTTATAGTTAGAGTAAGTTAGGGTTTTGGTGCATGTAAATTCTAAAGCGTCCATCGTTCGAGTCGTTCGCAGCCGAATAACGAAGGTAGGTATTTGGTGTCTACTTTTTTGTCTCAAATTTTTCCAAAACTCAGACAAAGAGGGGCAAACTGTAGACACCAAAATTTTTATTTTTATTCTTATTTTTGTTTTTGCTATTTATTATTTTTGGTTCTAATTTATTTTTTTAATTATTAGCTATTTTTACTTATCAATCTCAGCATTTATTTCAGATATTTCTTTAGTATTTTGGATACCAAATCTTTTTAATTTTTTGCTTTATTCGTTATTTTTATTAGATATATCATTATTTTTATTTTTTAGCATTAAAAAAAAAGAAAGAGAGCAAATTCACGTGCGCGTCACACGGACCAAGCATTCCAAACTGCATTTCAGAAATATGATACGCAATCCAGCTCCCATCTGATTTCCTCCATTTCTTCCTATTGTTTTTCTTCACCGTCTGATCATTTCCTTCGTCCCACCTGGCTTTCATCCGCAATCAAGGATGATAAAAAATTCAATCGGATGGCCATGGCAAATACAGTCAAATGAGGTTTATGAGGGCCCTTGATATCAGGGTTTTGAGGGTCGGCCATTTGATATAAAAAGGAAAGATATGACGGCTGAGGTTGGGGGGGATAATAGATGACGGCTGAGGTTTAAGGGATAACATATGACGGCTGAGGTTTTGTGAATATGGACTGTTTAGTTATTTAAATGCTTTTAATGATTCAATTTCATATTTATGTGATTATTTGTGATGCCTTGACCTTTTTCTTTTATTTTGGAGGGTAAATAAGTAATTTCACTCCATTAAGACTCCAACTCAAGGGAGGTACACCATATCCCTTGTTTCTTACTTTATTTGACCCTACGTGCCCTATGTGACTTTACGTGTTTAATTGCATGCCTCTTGAATGTTTATTTATCTATTTCATTTATTTATTTATTTGCTTTATTGGCTTTAGTTTTGTATATTTATTTTTAGTTCAATTTTGATCATTTGAAAGGCACTTGAATGCCAAATTTGTAATAGTTAGGTATTTATTTTAATTATTTATTTATTTCCCCTTTTAGATTGTAGTAGGGTTCCCCAAGTGTAATAGATAGGGCTTATGTGCTATGTGTTTGTGTGCCTATATGCCTATGTGTTTAATTGCTTTCCCTAGGTTTTTGCATCTAGATGAGCATGCTTATGTGCTACGTGCTACGTGAAACTATGTGTTTTGCATGCCTATTTGCTCTAACATTATATTTGATCATGTGGATGAATGCACGTCACCGTGGCTAGTCCAATGCTAGTCATGGTCTTCCCCTCGAGCCCTCATAAATCCAATGCTTGTGAGAGAGCGTTAGTTAAGGGCTAGTCCAATGCTAGACCCTTAAGAACCCTCCACACGTTAGATCATGATTGTGTGATAAAATCACTTCATCTCATGCATATTTTCACTTTTTAGGGTCTTTTATCATTTTTTGCATGACATCCCTCCTTATACGTATATCCCTTCCCCCATATTTTCCCTTATGTGTCTATTACTTACCCCTTTGTATGAAACATAACATTAGACTTGCATTCCCATTTAAGAATTAGAACTATGCTAGTACATTTGTTTGATTAATTTAGGGAATAACCCCTTGGATATGGGATATGGATGAGTTTGGTTTTTCTAGCCTTAACACGCTCGTATTCCCTCTATTAAAGGGAACATTGAAAGTCACGAGTATAAGTCCCCCGCACCCATTATGATGCATTCCTTTAGGTCATACACATTTGTATATTATTATTTTCTTTACTTTTCCTTTCTTTCGAGTCTCATGACTTGCATTATTCGTGACTTCTTCGAATAATCTTTATTGGGCATCACAATTAATGTGATTGGTACCAAGTAAGCTTTGAAGATACATTTTGACCCCTCGATACTCTCCTAGTTCTAAGGTTTGCATTTATATAGAACATCCAAATGTGATAAATCTTAAGGGTAAAATAAGAAAATTTTTGACTAAATCGCGCAACTAGCCTTGGCTAGATTGAAAGGGTGTCTTGGATTCTTATCCTTGTCTTTCT